TAGTCGACTTCCAACCTATAAAGCCGCTGCCTCAAGTCTCGTAGAGTACAGCAATTTGGGAATGTATGACATTGCATGTGTTCATTGTGGTGCTGTTCATTTTTTGAAAGAGAGAGTGCAGAACAGAATTCACCCTAATTCGTTTGGTGACTGTTGCCTTCATGGTCGCTTATTTGTTTCTCATTATTTGTGTCTCACTGTTTGGTTATAGCGCATACTTCAGTAACTCTAGAACGGTAAAAAGTGTATTATATACATTTAGACTATATCACTATTCTTATTGTGGCCAACTCAACTTAGTTTAAAATCTAGAGTCGACTCAATCCGATTGGATTGTATTATGTCATTATGCATTATGGCAAAACTAATACTGAAATAAAAATTATGCATTTTGCACATGTGGTTAAAAGTCACATGTTTCTGATTAAAGTATCAACAATAGAATTTTGTTTGTAAACATCTTGCCTCAAGAAATTCGTTACTAGATGGAAATGTACTCAACAAAAAATCTGAAATCATGAAAAGAGGACGACCACCAAATAAAAGTTTGAAAAAGTTGGGGAATTTCTGTAAAAGTCACAAAAAAGCTGATGAAGACCAGGTAAGTTAAAAAATATACCTTTATTAATTTAATTACATACATTAAATGTGTGTGGTATGTCATTACTAGCTTACACCACGAATACAGAAATTGGAAGTTACTTATTTTATATTTCTCTATAGCTCATTGTGTGAGGTACGTTAAAAAGTTAGATGACAATTTTCATGATAACATTCTTATTTATTTAATTACAAAGCTAATGGACACCCGTTTTGCCTAAACGTTATAGAGTCCCAACTAGAAGAAGATGTGAGTTTTGTACACTTTTGTAAACATCACTAACATTGAAATAGTTACAATGCAGAAATGGGTCTCTCACAAGACAAAGAAAACGTCTTGTGTGCGTGTGGTGTTGTTCAGGATCCCAGCCATCTACTGATGTCCACGACTAGACCAGTCTTGCACATTAGGTAGATGATCTTTTACAAGCGAATGACAAAGCCATATTGGTATAGCTAATTTCTGGAAAATCAAAGTCTGATTTCCGGACACGGAATGTAAGTAAGTAGCATGTGGAGGTAGAGGTAGGCTATGTGGTTAGTTACCATTTTTTACGACCTTTTGAAAGGAGCTTAAATTTACTTTCTTTGATAAAACTTTTTTTTAATTTCAGGCTGCAAAAGAACCTGAACCTGTTCCTGAAACTGAAGGACCTGAGGGGTCTGTTGTATGTGTCTCAGAAGTTCAATCTGAACAAAATGTGAGTTTTTATTATCATCTGAACCGTATTATTAATGTAAAATTATTCAAAACAATTAATTTATTTTGTTTATAAATATTATTTTGTGATAAATTAATAATACTTAGGTACAAAGAAAATTACCTTTTCAACAAGCATAAAAGTCAAATAAGTATTTAAATTTCAGGTCACAAACGGAGTGCGCGTGTTAAATGATCAATCAGATGAAAATGTGAGTATGAGTAACTATACCTGAACCGCATTGCTAACGGTACTAGTAAATAATTTTAAAAAGTTGATTCGTTCTTTTTGTGGTTAATTCAAACAAAAAAAAGACCGCAATAGAAAAGATAACGTTTGCCCAAAGTAACCATTAATGGTGGTGAATAGGAGAAGAGGATACTTATATAGTTTCATGAATCTATACTGTTGCTAGTAAACAAATAGACCTACTGTTATTGTTTGTTGAAATTGTTATACATTTATTATTATATTCCATAACGATAAGTTATTCTGATTCTGGTATTGGAGTATGCCGAGTAAGATATAACGCACCAAGTGTAGATAGGAATATATTCTAAAATTGGCCAGGTGATACTTAAATTTTTACTCTCAGTAGACTAGGATTACAAATGTTGCAGTATTACAAATTAACACAACCTTAATACAGATTTTTTATTTGTACAGCTGGTGACTTTCAATAAACCCATTAGATGTGCGAAGATAAGGGCTCTGGAGATAATTTCAGATGTAAGTGCTCAAATATGTCAGTCTATGGTGGAAGAAAGGGTAAATTATTTTGAGCAAATAAGAATATCAGAAGACAGCCAGGTTCGTGCCATTCGCCTTGAGGAACAGCGACAAAGAGACGCCAACCGCAGGGCTGCCGAGGAGGAGGACAAACGAGCACGACGCCTCGAAGAACAGCGGCAAAGAGATGTCAACCGCAGGGCTGCCGAGGAGGAGGACAAGCAAGCACGACGCCTGAAAGAACTGCGGCAAGCAGCCGCTATCCGCAGAGCCGCCGAAGACGAAGACGAGCGTGTTCGACGTCTGAAAGAACTGCGGCAAGCAGCCGCTATCCGCAGAGCCGCCGAGGACGAAGACGAGCGTGTTCGACGTCTGGAAGAACTGCGGCAAGCAGCCGCTATACGCAGAGCCTCCGAGAACGAAGACGAGCGTGTTCGACGTCTTGAAGAACAGAGGCAAATAGATGCCAACCGCAGGGATGCTGAAGTGGCTGACGAGCGTGCTCAACGCCTTCTAGAACAGCGTCGTCGTACAGCTGAAATTCGACAGAATTCTCAGCGTAGTCGACTTCCAACCTATAAAGCCGCTGCCTCAAGTCTCGTAGAGTACAGCAATTTGGGAATGTATGACATTGCATGTGTTCATTGTGGTGCTGTTCATTTTTTGAAAGAGAGAGTGCAGAACAGAATTCACCCTAATTCGTTTGGTGACTGTTGCCTTCATGGTCGCATTGAACAAGCTGCGCCAGAGTTTCCCAATGAATTGGCATTGCTGTACACAAAACAACACAGACTAGCCAAACAGTTCCACGATAAAATTCGAAATATTTCTGCCTGTTTTGCTTTTTCTTCATTCAATGTTGCTGATGACAGGACTTTCAATAGTAAAGGTATTTATACATTTACTGCTGGTGGACAAGTGTATCACAAGTTAAATTTGGCGGCTCAGCCAGTCAGCAACAGTGAGGGTGATTTGGAAAGACCTAGATATGGCCAAATGTACTTCATTGACCCGGAAACAGCCGTTGCAGAACGTATGAATGAACCAATGAATCAAGGTATCAATCAAGAACTAATACAGATTTTAGAGGAGGTCATGAGAAGTCAAAACCCATTTTCACAGGCTTTTATGATGATGAGAGAGATAGTTGAGGAAAACAATCAACGTGCTGCAGCTCTTGGTGTCCAACCACCCCATGTCCACCTCCTGTTTGCTGAACGTGCAGGTAAAATAATACTGTTTTCTCTAATCACAATTATTTTGTATGTTATTTGTAGTTGCTAAAAAAATATAAAATCAGAAATACAAAATAAACAGTAACTAAACATAAAACTTATGCAAACTTATCAAGTAAGATGTCTCGTGTTACTCCTCCATAAATGTGATAACTCTGAAGGGAAATTTAATTAAAGGGCGCCACAACTAAACGTTTTGTTGCAATCTCAGTACTAAACTCTGAAAAATTCCACATAAGCATAAGCAAACAAGCCGTAGCCATTTTTATTTCCTTTCTCTTCTCTTCTCCGTAGCTATTCTATATTACATGTAAGAATGACTACAACAGACTGTTAAAATAATAAAAACAAAACTTGGTAATCTCTGCTCTTTCAGATGGCACCAGTTTAATTTGTCTACGATCATTAATAAAGTAGCTTTGAACAATTAAGAGTGCGGCATTAATTTTGGGACATACCAAACTTTGTTATTAAGCGTAACGCAATTTATAAACTTGACATTTTTCTGAATGAGGTTTTTATAATTAATAATTTCATCAAAACAACTTTATTGAAAAGAGGATTTTAGTACATTTGTATTTTTGAAGAGTCGTCAAATACTATTATTCATTTACTGGATTAAACGAACACTCTACAATTAATTCAGTCTTTTTTTATTTTTATAAATGAATAATCTTTAAACTTTAGCAAGACTATACGGGTATGTTTCAAAAGTAAAGTTATGTATGAGAAAAATATGGAATGTACCTACATTTTGTGTCATTTTTCTCTTAGAACTAAATAATGATTAAAGTTAAGATTTTTTGTTTTTCATATCATTAATTTATAATGTTTACTTTTAGGTGATGATCCCAGGCGATTCAACTCACCAACTTATAATGAAGTTGCTGCTGTAATTACATTAAATGCAGACCAAAGCATCCCGGAAAATGAGATGGTTATTAAGGAGCGAGGAAAACAGTTAATAACGCTCAAGAACATTGACAGCCGAGTAGAACCATTCACCTACCCTCTCCTCTACCCAAAAGGAACTTTTGGGTTTACTGTAGGGCTTCCTCTTAAAACGCCTTATGCAAGCCGTGCACACATGACGAGGATGGAGTTGGCTCAATACAGGTTAGCCTTTCGTCCAGAACAAGCCAAGGCTCTTCCTCCTGAACCATTGCTAGAGGGATTAGATCTAAGGTCGATTGGATTTAATGCTCTCCACTTTGGTGGTAGACTGTTTCAACAGTACGTCGTGGACACATACATCCGTGTTGAACGTGATCGTATTCAGTGGATCAAATATAACCAAAAGAAACTTCAAGCTGATCGGTATGCAGGAGTAACACATTTTCTAAATGAATTGGCTGAAAAGAAAAATGCTACAGTTGCTGAAAAACTGATTTTACCATCATCTTTTCCCGGATCAACGAGATATTTCACTGAACACTTTGAAGACGCTATGGCAATTGTCCGAAGGTTTGGCTCTCCAGACTTTTTTATCACAATAACGTGCAGTCCAACATGGCCAGAACTAAAAGAAGCTGCATGTATTGAGCTCTCTGATGGTTCTAAACTACAACAGTTCGCCCAAGAAAGACCTGACATTGTGGCTAGGGTAGCCAAATTGAAATTTGACAGCATAGTTGAAGATATCAGTAAGAAACAGATTTTTGGGAAGTCTTCTGCTTTTGTTTACACTATAGAATTTCAAAAACGAGGATTACCCCACCTACATCTTCTTGTCATCATGGCAAATGAAGACAAACTCCGGTCTCCAGAGGAAGTAGACACTTTCATTTCGGCAGAAATTCCTAATGATGACCCAGTTCTAAGGGAGTTGGTCCTCAAATGGATGATTCACAATCCATGTGGCGAACTTAATCAGTCTGCATCATGTATGGAGAATAAGGGTGGATCAGCTAAATGCCGCTTTGGATTCCCCAAAGCTCATCAAGAGTTTACGTCAATTGTTGACAACAAAAAACCGAATTATAAGAGACGGTATGACCCACAACTGGATCCAAATAACCCAGAATTTTCTCACGTCCATGCGGTGTACCGCAAAAACAGTGATGGACAAAAAGTTACACGGGACAATAGACATGTTGCTCCATACAATGGCTATTTACTGAAGAAATACATGTGTCACATAAATATCGAGTATGTTGGTAGTGTTAGAGCCGTTAAGTACCTCTATAAATACATTTATAAAGGGCATGACTGCGCAAATGTAAAAATTGTTGAAAATGTGGCCCGAATAATGTATAATGAAGCAGAAACATTTGTTGAGGCACGTTATATTTCGCCCCCTGAAGCATGTTGGAGGCTGGCTGGAAATGAAATCCAAAGGAAAAGCCATTCGGTGCAACGTTTGGACATCCATCTAGAAGGTCAGTACCGTGTGGGAAACATGGAACAGACACAAGAAGATGTAGCGGACACTGGCCTGAAAGGGTCCACCTTAGAGGCGTACTTTAAACACAACTCTAAACTTCACATAGAAGAAGAGAATGGGAATGAAGTAACCTACTACTTCTACTGGCAGATGCCAGAAAAGTACAAATGGTTAGGCAAAACAAGTGAATGGGTGGTACGACAGCGAAGCTCAAAAACTATTGGAAGGATCCACACCGTGAACTTGGTGGCCCAACCTGAACTTTATCACTTGAGAATGCTCCTCTTTCATACCAAAGATGCCAAAAGTTTTGAAGACCTTAAATTTGTAAATGGGACTGCCTATTCCACTTATAAACAAGCATGCCTGGCAAAAGGCCTTACATATGATGACCAGCAATGGATTGATGGGCTGCGGGAATCCGCTTTGTCAAAGATGCCGAGTGTCATGAGGACACTCTTTTGTCAAATCTTGATTCTCGGATCACCAGAAAACCCTAAACGTCTCTGGGATATGTTTAAGGACGAGTTGGCAGAAGATTTTCTTAGAGAAGCAGAGATTTCTGGAACCCCTCTAGAAGATGCTTACAACAGAGCATATAGAATCATAGCTTACAAGCTAAATACTGAAGCTACAGAAGGTAATAATCAACTTATAAATATTACTTATTACAAAACTTAAATTAAGTTTATTTTGGGTGTATACCCCTTCAAAATTTGTAATATATTTATTTATATTTTATTTTAAATGATAATATCTTTCTCTTAAACTGACAGCGAGTAGGTTAGCCATGCCAATGGTCGATGAATGTTGTCTATTGGTCTACCAAAGTTAAATATCAATCTTTAGTGAATTCCTTCAACATATCATACATAATACCATATCAATATTCAATTATTTTAATGTCTTTAAAAGTCATTTCAAAATAATTAACAAAGATGGTCTAATACAGTCCTTACTATTATTTATTAATCACAAATTTATAAAAAACAGATGATTTCAGAATCAAACCTTTGCAGATATTTTTATAACAGTCTTTAAAAACTAACCTAAAATATGTTAATTTAATATAAAAAAAAGGGTTGGAAATTAGTGTGTGTTTTAAATAAGAGAGCACAAACCCCATTTAATCATATTATTCACTCATGAATAATACATTCATGACACACATTATTCTAACCATTGTTGTAAACAGTACTTTAATTTGGGAGATATCGACCTTGAAACATACATAATTGCGGATCTTCCAGCAAAATAAATCGTCTTAATAACAAACATTTTGAGCCTTTGGGTGGTGATTGATCACCTATAATTACTCCCAATTATTTACCCAAATTCTTTCAGCTTTATTAACTTATCGTTATTTGTGATGTGTTCCAAAAACTTTAATGACACTTTTTAGAAATTTTTAACACTTAAACGTGCTTATTTTAGGACGCAACTTCCGTTTTTGGGTAGAGAACTATGGAATGGATGATATTAACGACTTCGAGATGAATGAGGAGGTTTTTAACGTAGGGCAATCTCATGAAATTGGCCATCGCCTCTACAACAACCTCAATGATAAACAGAAGGAATTTGTTGATGCTGTCATCCAAACACTTGATGATGAGAGTTCAGGTACAGTACACTGTTTATAAACTGAGAAATTCAGGTGCGAGAATACCTAGGATACCACTAATAGCATTGAACATATGTTTTAGCAATTCCATTTAACCAATGTTAAATAATGTTTATTTTCGGGCCAAAAACGTCATTTGTTGATGTTTATGATCCATACCGGGTATTTTTCTAGTAATCGTGTAGGATACCAATAACCTTGAATAATAGGGAGGTTACTTCAATATTTAGAACAGTATGTTTTGAAACTATTTAAATAATGGTCAAGCCTTTTTTTATTTACAAGTAAATGACATAGTTAGTTATCAAAATACAGTTTCAGTTTTGAAATAAAACATATGGTTTACACATATTATTTGTTGCAAAAAAAAGAACAAAAAAAACAGAATCCTACTGCATCAGCTTTTAGAAACCCGCAGACTTGGATAATATAAGCTAGGATAATAATGAAGTTAACTGTAAATTGTACATTTTTGTTTTTAATCAATGTCATCTGATTTAATTCATTTTTTAGCTTCAATTTTGTATACTATCTTTCTTTATACTATTCAAACAATGTCACCAGTTTTAAAATCCTGACTGTAACAAAACATAATGTTGTGATAGTACACATGAAATGATTTGTTTTCAGGACCAAAATGTTTCTTCCTTGATGGACCTGGAGGTACAGGGAAAACATTTGTCTACAATACCTTGTACCACCTCTGCCGAAGTCGAAACATCATTGTTAAATGCATGGCATTTACAGGCATTGCATCCATACTTCTGCCAGAAGGACGCACAACCCACAAGACATTTGGTCTTAAAGTTCCTTTGACTAATGATTCAAAATCATCAATCAAACGTGGATCTTCAAAATTCAAGGAATTGGAAGCAGTCAACATGTTCATGATGGATGAAGCACCAATGCTTCCTAAATACGGTCTTGACTGCATGGACGAGCTCCTTCGTGATCTAGGTGACAGGAACTCCCCATTTGGCGGGAAAATAATGATTTTAGGAGGAGATTTTCGACAGTGTCTACCGGTCCAGCCAAGGGCAAATCGTACCGAACTTCTAGACCTTTCCATCAAGAAAAGTGTTCTCTGGAGGTACTTCAGGGTTTTCTCTCTGGAACAAAATATGAGAGTTGATGCGGAAGAGGAGTGCTTTGCTAGGTACCTACTGAAACTTGGAAATGGAGAGCTTGATACCAACGCTGATAGTGAAATTGAACTCCCTAATGACATCATCACTAATACTAATGACATTGTTAACGAGATCTATGGAGAATGTCTCTCCGACGGAAACTTTGAGGACATGAAGGATCGAGCAATTCTTGCACCCCTAAACAAGGACGTCGACACAATTAACAACACCGTTATCAATTTAATTCCTGGAACCGAGACCATTTATAAAAGTTACGATTCAATTAAAGATGAACCAGAAGGTGCCTTAAAGTTCCCCCCAGAATTCCTAAACTCTATCGAGATTTCAGACCTACCACCACACCAGCTCAGACTAAAAAGTAATACCATTATCATGCTCCTTCGTAACCTTGACGTCTCAGAGGGTCTGTGCAATGGCACTAGACTGATAGTTACAGCACTCTGTCCTAACATAATAAAAGCCAAGATCATCACTGGTGAACACTCTGGCCGAGACGTGCACATACCGAGAATCACCCTTGATTCATGCAAGTCTCAGCTAGGGTGTTCACTACAAAGACACCAATTCCCTATTCGGCCAGCCTTTGCGATGACAATACATAAATCGCAAGGGCAAACATTTAAATATGTCGGCGTCGTGCTACAAACGCCTGTATTCATGCATGGCATGCTATACGTTGCATTTTCAAGGGTAAAGCGTAGAAGTGCATTGAAAGTGGTGGTACCGCCAGAAACAGGTGGTCGCACACGCAACGTAGTGTGGACCGAAGTTTTTAATTGATGTGGTTCGTGCATTTGAGAAAAGACTTTTGTTATATTATGAAATTCTATTTTTCTTTAACTATTTTTTATTTGTTTTGTTGTAAACATTTTCTTTGATAGTTAGTTTTATTGAAGGTATGCATTGTACTGTATCAGATGCAGGCAATTTCTTACTTGCTCTGCTCTTTAGGGATACTTTAAATGTATTGAAATATTTTGGAATATTTCATTTTTATATGATAATCTTATATTCTTATGTGAGCAATGTTTGCTTGCAGATCAAAAACAGCAAGGTCAAAGGTCGGGGTACCGCAGGGTTCGGTTATGGGCCACATTTGTTTTTAATTTTAATTAATGACATTAGTTTCAATTTAAATTGTAAGTCAACAATTTATGCTGATGACACCTCTTTACTTGTTAGCCATAGAGATTTAGATTGTATGGAAAATGTTGCCAATTCTGTTTTTAAAGATGCTGAAGAATGGTTTACAGTAAATGGATTGTTTTTAAATTCTAAAAAACACAGAGAATATTGGTGACCTTGAAAAAGAATCATGAATACCATCAATTTGTTCACTATAATGAAAATTTTGTAACATTACTTGGTATAAAAGTAGACTGTAAGCGGTCATAGTCTGACCATATTAATTTTGTAAATAATAAATTGCCCAGAGTTGTACATTTGTTAATAAATCTAAAAAGACATGTTTCCAGTAAATACTTGAAAATGGCATATTTTGCTTTTTATGAAAGTGTTATCTGGTGGATAATCTGGAGTAACGGAGTTGGAATTAAAAAAAATTTAATCAAACAAAAAAAAGCTGTTAGAGTTTTGCCGGACTCAGAAAGGTTAGCCCGCTCCAGGCCACTTTTTGTCTCATCGGGGACCCTGACTATTGTACACTAACTTGTATATTTTAGAGGTATTGATGTTTGTCAAAATTAATTTAAATATGTTTTCTGTCAGAGAAAAAATACATGATCATGTAATCAGATTTAGGAATAAATTAGATCAACAAAGGTTTAGGTTAAGTAAATCAATGAATTATCATGTTAATTTAGGTGTAACATTTTTCAACAAGTTACCATTGACTTTTCAGAGTTTGCTTAAAAAAGCACTAAATAGATTGTATAATTGGTTACAATTGAACCCATTTTGTACATTGGATGAATTTTTAAATATTAAAATAGAGTCTTCAAGCCTAGCCCAATTTTAGATTTTAAACATTACATGGTTTTTTGTGATGTTAGCTCAATTTAATGTTGCTTGTTTATCAATGTGAATCATATACAACTGTTTATTGAAAAATTTTGTAATTTTGTTGAATGTCTAATAAATGTCTTATTATTTGTCTTATTTGCTTGTATGTATAATTTCACAAAGTACTTGAAAACGGCTTTGACAACAGCCTTTAAATGTTGGAAATAATTTATTTCTAGCCTAAAAACGTAATTGACGACCACCAACATCTAAGGCAAATTCGCATTTCACTATACAACTCAATATAACAATATACAAATTTAACATTTGCCACATGGGCTGCTAAGTAGTTATGTTGGTTGAACAAAATAATAAGTAAAAAGAAAAACAAAAGACTTGTAACATATTGTGTTTATAATAAGCCAACCACAATATACTACAATTTACAGTACAAAGGGGGAAACATCATGTCACTATTGAGCAAAGATTACACTAATTTATCTATATAGGGGATATTTTCCCTTATATATTGATTAATTTTCAGTATAATCTTTGCTCAATAGTAATAATTGAAGTTCCTCTATATGGGGTTTTTTCCATTGACTGTAAAATAAAATAATTTGTTGTGGATTGTCAGGTTAAATTTTCCATCATAATAAATGGAAATTCCACTTGAAGTTAAATAATTAAGTCCGAAATTAGTTGTAAATAAGACTTGATATTGTGAAATCCGTGGATAAGTTTAAGTCATATTGTGATTAACCTGATAATAATAAAACACAGCTGGCCTAAAGATATTGCTTTAGCAACACTTAAGTTGCCTTTATATTGCTTTTACAATCGAAATCAACTATACCGAGCCATGGCTCGGTCCCCCGGTACTAAAGGTTTAAATATGAATTGTAATCCAACAGCTGGTCCTTCAGCTGCATTTTAAACACAGATTGTAAACCAGAGACAGACTAAACAGTTTATGAAACTGGATATTAAATATTCTACTTGTTTTTAATTGTAGCCTGATTGGGATAGGTAAATCACTTTTCAGTTTGTATGGTGTGTATACGGAAAAATGAAAGGGTATTGCATTATTTTTACCAATGAATTAAGTTGTGATCCGTATTAAAATGCGCAATTTGCTCATAAGTCCCCTCGTAATACAAAAATATGTAACTAAAAATATTTTAAAAATCACTTGTTGACAAAGGACACGTCACTTAAGACTACGGCGCTCATGTGTTTGACGGCTTATGATTTGTTGATATAACGCCAACAAAGTATCAGCTGTTTGATGAAGACGAGTTGTCAAGACTTATTGACAAATTGGCAGCGGAGACGACAGCTCAGGTGTCTTGACAGATATCTTCCTCTCTGTCTTGTCAAGTGCGTCTTCAGCGAGTGATGACTCGTAAGTAATCTGTTGTTCTGGAATTGTCAAGTTTTCTCATATACTGTACTTAAATGAGTTGACGTTACATATAGATGAATAACCTGTAATATTCTGTTTTCAATGTACAGCTGATCCTGGCTAGTGAAACAGCTGATCTTAGTCAGTAACAAAGTCATACCATAGATGAAGTAATATAACATTGGGTGAGGTGAATAAAAGGTAGTACATACTACGTAGTTCGTACTACATAGTTCTAGCACTTGCTCAAATCGAGGTGAATAAGAATTAGCTAAAACTAGGTAGTAAGTACTAGGGGTTCCCTATGTGATGTAGTAAGTACTACCTGCCTAGTACGTACTACCCCCTAGTACTTACTAGATTGATTCACTAATAAACAAGTCAAAACCGGCGCGCGGCGATAATCGGCTGTTTGTCATTCTAACAAATCATTGGTAAAAATTTGAATGAATGGTGTTTTTGGCCTCCGGGGGCCTCTAGGTCTTACCATGCCACCTACTGTAATAGCTACTTCCTTATAGGGAAATTTGCTAAAAGAGAAAATTGCAAAACGCAACAATCCTATCTAGATAAAAAATTATTATTTGAATTACGCTATGCAATTGATATTACTTTATAAACAATCAATTCCCAATTTTACATAATTCCTAATATGTAATCAATATCCTATCTACTGTAATTAAAAAATATTGTTTATTTAAATCAATTTGTTATTACATATTTAAATCTTATTTACGACCAATAAGAAGATACCTATTTAATTTGTACTAAAAAAATACCCCCGCCACAGCAAACCTGCAGACTAAGCGAATTTCAACTTGTCTGATTACATTTTTACTAAAATATTTCCATAAATAAGACATATTTATTCCTGATTTAAATAACATTAGATTTAACAAGTGCTTAGGTTTGCTGCTACGGGGAAGGTAAAAAGTTTTTTGACCATATGTTAACAGTATAGGATGAAATAAATAAATTTGCGAAATTTTTTCAATATATATCCATAAACAAGTACACTACAACAGTTTTCATTTTCTCCATAAGAATAACATGAGAATTTTAAATTACACTTTTTTTTATTTTCTCCGTTACCGTCAGACATATAACAGCGCTTCAATATACTAAATTATTTCTTTTTTTAAGCTCTACAAAATGGTTGAGAAAGAAATTGCAAAATTTTTTGTTTTTAGGGTAAAAAATGGGAAAACCCCCACTTACCTGGATCACCAAAATAACGCAGTAAAATTTCCTTTTTCTGTCGAGATGACAGTGCCTCTTCTCTCAACTTCCCCATTGCCAGGCAAAAACTCGTTGGTCAAAAATTCTCAAATCGCAGTAATTGCTTATAGTTACCAATATTTCTTAGTTCAAAGGTATGTTTTCCTGTTAAGAACTTGTAAAAACATCGCCATATTTGCAAACGACCAAACTGAAGCATGCCCTTGAGCGTACTACATAAAAATGAAGTAACTACTACGCCGACTGGTTTTTATTCACCGAAAGAGCCTAGTAGATACTACTTTCCCTAAGTGATGTAGTATGTACTAGGGGTAGTACGAACTAGCATTTTATTCACCTGCAAGTCGTAGTTTGTACTAGAGGCTAGTATCAACTAGCATGTTTATTCACCGAAAACCGAGTAAATACTTCGAAAAGAAGTACGTACTACCAAATACTACCTTTTATTCACCTCACCCATTACTTCATCTTGGTCACTCCAATCTCACACCATTCTACACCATCGATCTCTATTATTACTACATAGAGATCGATGTTCTACAGTCATGCTTCACTCAGATTTGGGTTACAATACGCACCTAGGTGGCGTCAATCCTCATCTCAATTGATTGATAACATTTTCAATGTCGTTTTTCGTATCCCAAAAAATGTTTCATAGTTCCGCCCGTTGCGCCAAGTCCAAGCCAGGTAGGGGTGAGTTGCCGGCAGAATGAATGTCCTTGTTTAGATGTTATCCTAACTTAATTATCCTAACCAAACCTAATCTAATATAACCTAACCTACTCAATTATACAGTCAAATAGGGCTGCCACTTGGCGTAGTTAAGGAACTTTTCGGGTGGCTCCCTGGAGTAGTTGGCGCAATTCAGGAATACCTGACTACCTGATGAGGGTCAGTTGTCGCAATTAATGCTCGCCACAAATCCTAAATTTACGAGGGGACACAGTTGGACAACACACTCAAAAACCTAATAGCAAAGCTGACGAAGTGTTTACCATTACCAAACGGTCTGTCTAATGCTCGCGCTTTGAAAGTCCCATCCGTCTCTTAGTGCGACTGAAACGGATCCTTGGAATTAATTAATTTCAATCAATCGCATTGATCTGCGTGACCAAAGGACGATATTCACTGATCGGACGTGACATGAACAGCTTGACCCAAAAGAGCAAAGGGA